CAAGTTTGGATGTACATAAATATCCAAGCAAAAGTTACGCAAGCAAAAAAGAAGCTGTGAGCAAGTTTGGGTGTACATTAAATACCCAAGCAGAAAGCAATAAAGCTGCGAGCAAACGTGGGATCACATAGATACCCCAAATAAAAGCCACGTAAGATACACCACAAAGGACAAGGCAAAAAATAAAGAAAACATATTTTTCATATAAATGTAGTCTTGGCAAAGAGCACAACGCAAAACAGGACGGAAACCCGAGACAAACAAAAAACAAGTCCACAAGCAAAAAGAAAGATATAATATCTGCGGCCCTCAAGCTCGCTACACAGGCAAAGAAGGGGGGACACCCCGCGAAACCTCCACATCAACTGAGCTACCCCTGCTACAGACAGCCGTGGCAGAGTCTCCCACATCCCAGGAGCTATCAGTACCTTCAGACGCCTGCCTAGGGGAATCATCCAGAAAAACAGCACTAGGACCCTGATCATAAGTTCTCTTCAAATCCGGATCAGCATGAATCAAGGCAGCAACGTCTATATCCTCAAACTCAGCAAGACGGTCAGACACAATCAACCCACGACGAGGGAGCAACATCTTGATAAGCTTGACAGCAAGATTAAAGTAACCCAAACTGCCAGAAAGAGCAAAGGCCCTACCTTCAGGAGACTCCTTAAAAGACTGAACAATAGAAGAAGACGAAGCTTGTAGAGAGGAAACCTGCGCCTTCAAATCTGAGATGGACCTCTCCAAAGTAGAATTCACAGAAGAAAGATCACCCAACTGCCACTGCAAGGACAAAACAAAGGACTCCAAAGACGCAGCAGCAGAAGAAGAGAAAAGTTCTTTCTCTCTCTTCAACAGATCATAACATTCCTGGAGCATAGTTAGCTCTTTCTTCAACCTCTCAACCTCAATGGAGTTAGCTCCCAGTACTGTTTTCTCAGAATGAAGCTGCCGACACAAGTTTAATAGATCCTTACTCCTCTCCCGCATCTCAGACAAATCAGCAGCAGCGCAGTAAGAGGAATCTTCCTTATCTAGGAGAATTTCTTTCATATGCTGTAGTACAGCACAAACCTGAAACACGAGAGCAAAGAAAAACATTAAAAATAAAACAGCTACAAAAAACAATAAAACAACCACAAAAAAAAAAAAGAAAGAAAAACACATACACTAGCAGAATGATGAACGGCCATATCATGAAGAACCTCCAAAGGAAAATTTGAAAGTAATTTTTTGTCACCAGCCAACAACATGGATTTAGAAGATTCGCGGGCAATAGAACTATGCCTAATAACAGAAGGACCCTCAAGGTCGATATCATAACCTGCACAAAGAAGGAAGAAAACAATAAGCCAACAGAGAAAAATTAGCATGAGGACAATGAGGAAAAGACATACCAGGGTGGACGACATCTTTCAAGGGCAACCTTGTCAAAGGCTTAGAGAAGCTTTTTCCAGCAATAAAGTCCATAAAAGAAGAAATCAAGAGTCTTCCCTCCGAAGAGAACTGCTGCAACTCATCATCAGGAAAAACGAAAGAAGCAGGAACCTCTTTATCAACCTCAATAACACAAGCCTCCGCCACACCCTTGTCAGAACCACCCGCGGAAGCTACTTTAAAAGAAGCACTTTTCAACCTCTTAGACCTCCTCACAGCCAAAGGCGCCCCTTGAGGAACGATTCCCTTTGACTTGCCAACAGCCTTCTTAACTTTCTCAGCTAATAATTTCTCGGCCTTCACAGCTCTATCAACCTTCTCGAGCCTCTCAATCTTGGCAGAACGACTCAAAACAGCTAAGGTATTTATGCCACCTAAAACATACAAAAGAAATATAACTAGAAGGGAAAAAACAAGAAAATGTCAAGAAAAGCCAAGCAGAAAGAAAAAGATACCAGCAGAACCAAGAAAAGGACTATGAATGGCAGCCGGACTCCCCTCACCAATCTTCCGTTTTAGGGATCGTTCAGGCCTCGGAGAAGCCTCAAAACCGGAAGGAACAAAAGGAACGGGAAAATCAGAGTAGGAGTCACAAGAACCGGGAACCCAGACACCCGCCTCAATCAAATTCTCACGAACAATCAACTCTGCAATGCTCACGGAAGGTTCGGTAACAAACTTATGGACAGCCCTATAATCATCTACCGAAAGCAGAACCTCAGCAATAGTAGTACGAGGGACCCGCCAGAGAGAAGGAAAATCAGCATCCTTAGGAGCACTCAGAAAGAAAAACCTCTTATGCCAATTATTGGAATCATAACCAGGCAAGGGGTCCACAAAAACAGTGTTACCCGGCGACGTTTTTTATCATCCACACCTTGAAACTCTAGCACTCTACGCGAAAAATAATACCAACTACCAGTGGGCTCAGCAGTTTTTAAATGAAAAAAGAAACAAAAAAGCTCACGGGTAGGTGTAATCCTGAGAAGGAAACATCTCACAATAAAAGCAACTATATAAGCAATAGCACGATGAGCTAATTGAGGAAGGCTAATAGAGAATTCATCACAAATCTCAAGGAAAAAAGGATGCAAAGGAAAACGCAACCCACATGCAAATTGATCCTTGTACACACACATATCGAGGGGAAGGCATTGAAATGCCGCACGGCCCGCCGGATGTTGAGGAAGGAAAACCTGCGGATCTATCAAGTTCTTTTTATAAATCTCCCTACTCTCATCCACATCACAACTAGTAGTAACCCAAGACACTTTATCAAGATCACAGAACACCTTCGTCGAGCCTAGAGGAAGAACAACTCTTCCACCCTTCGAAGATGAAACCGAAGGAACCTCGGTAGGAAGGGAAGGAACCATGGGATCCCTCTCCACATGGCGTAGAGCGCCCTTCACAACAAACTTCCCATCAGCATTGAGGGGAAGGCAGAAAATATCAAAGAACTCCGGCTCAGAAGAAGTGGGAAGGACACCCACGTCATTAACAGAGGAACCACCAGAGGCAGAGACCGGAACAAAGCCGAGAGCAGAGATCTGGCCAAAGCCGAAAGTCGTGACCGGAACAGAACCAGAAGCAGCGACCGAAGTAGAACCAGGGGAAATGGCCGGAACAGAACCAGGGGAAATGGTCGGAACAAAACCAGAGGTAGTAATCCGAACAGAGCCGGAACCAGAGGAAGAAGGATTACCGGCCATCACAAGACAACCGGCTTGATCAAACCACAAGATCAAAGAAACTTTTTTCAAAAAGAAGAAAACAAAGAAGGAAAGGAAGAATCCGAAAAAACAAGAAGACAAAAAGAAATCAAGAGAAAGTCAAACAAAAAGAAAAGGAAGAATCGGGAAACTCAATGAAAGCACCAGCAAGCCAAAAAGATTAAATTGCATAAAATCCCAAGAAAGTAGGGATTTGAACCAAAAGGGCCGGCCGTACCAAAAAGCCACACAACGGAGGCCACATACATAAAGTGGCTGCCAAAAAAGTAGAAAAATTCGGGAAATGCAGCTGCAAAAATAGGGAAAAATCAAGCAAGGACTTGAACAAATCTACAGAGTAATTAATTTCAAATAGAAACTTTTAATAAGGAAACTGCGCCAGGAATCACAAAGGAAAAACCTGTGCTGCACTCTTTTTTCCTTAAACTAGATTTTTATCCCACAGGGTTTTTTCTAGTTAAGGTTTTTAACGAGGCAGCCATGGTTAAAAAAATAGGAACCAGCGCAGAAATCAAAACCAAGATCAGTAGAGTAACGGAAAAGACATACAATTGTTGAAGTTTTCGCTATCCTCAAAACTTCTTTGTTGGGAGGCAAATGTTATACCTAAAATAAGTCCTATGATAATTAGGACACGTGGAGGCATTCTAGAGATAGTCTTATCAAAAGTAGAATAGGATAAATCCCATTAGAATAAGAATATCCCAAACACCAATCAAATAAAATTGTATTCCTAGAATAATTATATTTAAGCATCCTATAAATACCTCTAGGATCAACCTAAGGAGGTAGATTATTTTCCATCATTATTCTCTCTACATTGTAAACTCTCTCTATCAATAAAGATCTTGGTTCCACACCACCTACTCTATTTTTACTGTTAACAACAATCATTTCATTCAAGAACGGATTCGCAAATGTGGGCACTGAAGAAGTTAAATTGGAATCAATGGTGGCTTCGGAGACTAATTTCCTCTGAGAAATGCTTGCACTGATGGCCGCTTTGAGTGAAAGAGTCCGTTCTTTGACGAAATTGGTTCTGGGATTAATTCTGTTCTACCATGACCTATTGAATTCAATTTCTATACTTAAATCTGTATCTTTGTCGGAAATTTGCTGTTGCTATGTGGCCAAAAAAAAAAAAAGTGAAAGAGGGACAATGCTGCTGCCTAAAATTTGCTCCTGCCATGTGGCTGCTTACATGGCAGCACATGACCCCATATGAAGAATTTTGTTAACAGAGTTAACGAAGGTATGTGAGGGTAGACGAAAATGAAACAGTTTTGAAAGTTAATAAATGAGTTTGAAAGAAAGTAAAGTATCTAGACTAAAATGAAAAATAAGTAATAGTTAATAGATGATTTATTAAATTAAGCCCTTCCTTGTCCAACAAAGGATAACAGCATCGATGGGCGTGGCAACAATTTCTTTAAATTTCCAGCACTTTCAAAACCCTAGATTAAGAAAACCTAAACTTAATCGATAGGCATGGCGATAATTCTCAATTTCAAAACATTTTTGCTTCAGCTGATCTTCGTCGATTGCAGCTGCAACTACAATCAAAGCACGAAATTACACTATATGCAGCAGCATCTTCGCCTCCGGTGTGCTTAATTTTCTCCAATTTCTTGTTTATTACAAAATATCAGAAGAATTATAGTATAATTTTGTGATTTTGGCATTAGAGTTGTTCGATTTAGGGGCTATACAACATCAACAGTTGGTTCAAGGGAATTTGACTCTTCAAAAATATATAAAAACATGCTGTTTGATTTCCTTCCCCTTTTTTTAGTTTTAATGTTTGCAATGTGAATAATTGAAATAATTTTCTTAAGGTCTGGAGGAATTTGTTTTGTATTAGGTTAAGTCTTCACAGCTTGGAATTTGGACATTAGCAGGCGATGGCAATGCATGTATTATCACTTTCTTGAGGAAATGTGGTGGAAAATCAATGATTCTTCTGTAAACAAATGTTTCTAAAGCTTAATGTGTTTCTTTTTTGAGTGTATGATGAAGCATCATATGATTTCCCCTAAGTTGTATTGTGTAATAAGTTTGCATTTTATGAGAGGATTGTGTATGTTTTCTTTTTCCTCACTAAATTATATTGATCTTTTGCTTGCTACCTGTTGTCTCCAAAAAATCTCCTTGACACATGGTAGATGAAAAGGCTTGCGACTTGCTTTGCTCAAAACAAGAAAGATTTCTCCGACGACCCTCTCTTCTTCCCAAGCAAGGAACTCAATTCGTGAGTTGATGGAAGAACGTCGTAAACTACACCTTAATGATCAAATGATTGGCAGAAACTAGGGAGGAACTTCTTGCACTAAATGCATTATTCAAAAAAATGCCTTGGATATGATTCCAATGACTCCTTCAAACTAATGTAATCAAGAAAAGCTAAGACTGTAAGAAAAATAAATTATCACCAAACTATGAAAATCTAAATAAATCTTATGATGCAAACTAGGTTGAAACAGAGCTCTAAAAGGAAATTTAATTGCAGAAAAAAAGTAAATTAAGTTAAAGTGAATAAAATTGGAAACATAGAAAATCTATTGGTAGCATGAAATATAAATTAACTGAAATGGAGCTGAATCATGAAATTAAACATCGACATCATTTGATTAAATTAAAAGAAACTAGGTAAACAATAAAGGAGAGGAAGCAATTCAATTACAAATAAATATTATTGAAGGCAACGAAACTCACCATTACAAAACCAACGAAAGGAGAACTGAATTGCTTCCCCAGAGAACTGCAACTAATTTATGGGATTTCTAAAGGAAAAGTCATTAAACTAAAGTTGAAAACTAATTTAGGCTAAAGCGTAGAGCTAAAACTAAACTAAAAGGATTGAGACTAAGATGAATCTGAGCATAAAAAGAAATTCTGCTGAACTTGACATGTAAGAGGCCAGTCTGTCGTGCTTCGTTTCTTCTCTGCGTACTTATAATACTGAACACCCCTTGGCAATATGCTTGGAGATCTGGAGCAGCATCTTGAAATTCAACAGTAATGTGAAATATGAAACAAATCAATTAATCTGTTGATGCTGCCAATTATCCTCCTGGAAGTTTACAACAAGCGAACGGCTTTATTACTTTTGTGGAAATAACCACTGAACCTTATCTGGAGAGATTTACACCAACAACTTTTAACCAATGAAATACTTGCCAACATGAATGACACTTGGCACCATTCTATTTTTTTTGCAAAAATGGGTGTAAACACTACCTTGCACTAATTATGTTAGGTGTACTCTTTTTTTCTTGTACTATAACAAATCAGATTGGATCATCAACGTCTTCTTAATTTGATTCTTATGATCCTTAATTAATTTGCGCTATATTAGTTTCAACTCCCCAATCTGGTTAAATCCTCCACAATATCCTGCATACATAGTGTTCGACATATTATTGAGCTTAAAGTGTCCAGATTTGATGGATTAATTACGTTGAAGGTTGTTGGATATATAAATATACCTATATATTATCAACCAACTTTTTGAACATAATGAATGTTAATTTGTCTAAATGCTTATTCACACCTTTTTCCTTAAAACAATTGCATGGCATATGGCGTATATATTGATCACAAAACAACAAAAATCTTCCCCTTGTACATAAACTAGCATTTGTGAAAGATGTTGAAAAAGGATTGAAGAGAAATTCCCCTAGGCGTGCGGAATGGGATGTGGAGAAAACGTGTTTAGGTCCCATCGGAGCTGCTGGGGCAATTATATTGATGGTAAGCGTGTCCAATGGGTTTTGGGAATATAACATGGAGAACGTTGAACTAAGGAAATTGAAGATATTCCGTATGAAATGGGGCATGGAAAAGGCATGCTTGGGGTCCTGTCCAAGCTGTTGGGAAAATTTATTGAAGGCGTATCGAATGGGTTATGGAAATAGCGGAGTAATGCTACCCATTGACAAATGTAGTACTAGTGGCGGACTAAAATATTGAAAAAAAAAAATTTTATGCCGAACTTTAAATTTAAAAAAATTCCGTATATTTATTTGTCCCTTCTAAAAAGTTAAATAAAATGTATTTAGTAAAAGAGAATAAAAGTTATAGGGCCTGGCTTGCCACTATATTTAGGTTTTTAAGGTAGTAAACTCCACTTGTATAATAATAATTTGTTTTGATTTAATCTTGCACTCGTGAATAAGAGGATGGTAATAGATAGGACTCTTGGGTAAGGAGGTTTGGGGAGTGGACATTCTCTAGGTTTGAAGAATCACCAAAAATTGTTGAAGAAATTTTCAAAATGGAGGAAAAAAGACAATGGTTGGGAAAGACCGCAAATGATGAAAAGGTATCTTTCCATAATTAAACTCTTTCATTTAAATTGGAAGAGATATGTTCTTTGAAAAGTGTCTATTCTCAATAAACACCTATAGCCTATAAAAAGTTTGTCTTCATCGTCTTCAAGAAGTAGACTCCTATTTGGAGAATAACAGACTCCTATAGAGAGAAGAAGCAGTTTCCAATAAGGAAAATATGTCTTGTTATTATCAAAATAAAACAATCATCTTTTGTACAATGATTGTTGCAAAAATCCTTATACAAAAGTAATAGTTTTGCTGCTTGAAGAAGTAAGATCCAATGATTTGTTTCATCAATGCAAGACAAAATCAACAGGGCTAGGCATTTTCAATTAATCCCTTTGCATAGCAAAATGCTGGGGGTGAAATAGGCTAAAGGAAAGTGACATTTGTAGTATGCCTTGAAGCCAATGATCTATTTTCTAACCCCCCAAGTTCCAACATAAATCATGGCT